ATTATCTATTTATTTTGTTTATTTTGTTTGGATGGATGTGTTTCTGCTGCTACTGGACTCATCCTGCATTTCACCAACAGGGGTCAATAAAGTATCTATCCATCTATGTATCTACAGTATATATGTATATCTATGTATCTATACATGTATATATGTATATCTATGTATCTATACTGTATATGTATATCTATGTATCTGTGTATGTCTATGTAGCAGTAGCAGTAGTAGTAGTGGTATGTAACTACTGTATGTGTAACTACTGTATATGTCACTACTGTATATGTCACTACTGTATATGTCACTACTGTATGTGTCGCTACTGTATGTGTAGCTATTGTATATATAGCTACTGTATGTGTAGCTACTGTATATGTAACTACTGTATATGTAACTACTGTATGTGTAGCTACTGTATATGTAGCTACTGTATGTGTAGCTATTGTATATATAGCTACTGTATGTGTAGCTACTGTATATGTAACTACTGTATATGTAACTACTGTATATGTAACTACTGTATATGTAACTACTGTATATGTAACTACTGTATATGTAACTACTGTATATGTAACTACTGTATGTGTAGCTACTGTATATGTAACTACTGTATATGTAACTACTGTATATGTAACTACTGTATGTGTAGCTACTGTATGTGTAGCTACTGTATGTGTAACTACTGTATATGTAACTACTGTATGTGTAACTACTGTATGTGTAACTACTGTATGTGTAGCTACTGTATGTGTAGCTACTGTATGTGTAACTACTGTATATGTAACTACTGTATGTGTAGCTACTGTATGTGTAACTACTGTATGTGTAGCTACTGTATATGTAACTACTGTATGTGTAACTACTGTATGTGTAACTACTGTATGTGTAACTACTGTATGTGTAGCTACTGTATTGTACTACTGTATTGTAGCTACTGTATATGTAGCTACTGTATGTGTAGCTACTGTATATGTAACTACTGTATATGTAACTACTGTATATGTAGCTACTGTATGTGTAGCTACTGTATATGTAACTACTGTATGTGTAACTACTGTATATGTAACTACTGTATGTGTAGCTATTGTATATGTAACTACTGTATGTGTAGCTACTGTATATGTAACTACTGTATATGTAACTACTGTATATGTAGCTACTGTATGTGTAGCTACTGTATATGTAACTACTGTATATGTAACTACTGTATGTGTAGCTACTGTATATGTAACTACTGTATGTGTAACTACTGTATGTGTAGCTACTGTATGTGTAGCTACTGTATGTGTAACTACTGTATATGTAACTACTGTATATGTAACTACTGTATGTGTAGCTACTGTATATGTAACTACTGTATGTAACTACTGTATGTGTACTACTGTATGTGTAGCTACTGTATGTGTAGCTACTGTATGTGTAACTACTGTATATGTAACTACTGTATATGTAACTACTGTATGTGTAGCTACTGTATGTGTAACTACTGTATATGTAACTACTGTATGTGTAACTACTGTATGTGTAGCTACTGTATGTGTAGCTACTGTATGTGTAACTACTGTATATGTAACTACTGTATGTGTAACTACTGTATGTGTAGCTACTGTATGTGTAGCTACTGTATATGTAGCTACTGTATGTGTAGCTATTGTATATGTAACTACTGTATATGTAACTACTGTATGTGTAACTACTGTATGTGTAACTACTGTATGTGTAGCTACTGTATGTGTAGCTACTGTATGTGTAACTACTGTATGTGTAACTACTGTATATGTAACTACTGTATATGTAACTACTGTATGTGTAGCTACTGTATATGTAACTACTGTATGTGTAGCTACTGTATGTGTAACTACTGTA